AGAGATGTTATTCGCAATGGTATAGGATGGATTGTTGGTAATGGTAAGGATATCCTTTTTTGGACCCATCACTGGGTCTTTCCTTGCCCTTTATTTCATCTCATCCCGGAAGACAACCATGAAAACTTGAACTGGAATTTAAGAGTGAATGAATTTATTAAGAACAATTGTTGGAACAGAGAACGTCTTCAGCAAGTGTTGGATAATGATATTGTTAGAAAGATATGTATGGTTGTTATTTCGCGGTACAACAAGGACGACTTCTTTGTGTGGGAGCATTCTTTGAATTGGGAATTCTCTCAGTTAAGTCAGCCATGTAGATCCAAGGTAATGACAACCAAGAAGTAAATAGAAATAAACTTCTAAAACGGATGTGGAGTCTAAAAATTCCTCCAAAAGTTAAAATTTTTGCTTGGCTTTTTATCTTGGAAAGATTGCATACTAGGCTGCGACTAAGTATACATATTCAAAGCATTAGTACAAGTTGCCATGTTTTTAATGGGGATAAGGAAAGTCAAAATCATCTTTTCCTTAATTGCCATCATGAACTTCAAACGTGGAATTTATCCATAGCAAAGTAGCAACCATCAAGTCAGTAATGTAATTGACTGATTAGAGATCCTTAACGCTAATGAGGAGAAGGAGTTAAGTGACTTAAGTAAAGAAATTTTAATTTGTTGGCAATTATGGCAAGATCGAAATAACAAAGTGTTTAATAGCATAGATCCAGATGCAACTAAAAGTCGTGGTTTGGCTGTAAGTTCTGATAAGAGCTATGCACTTGGTTAGCACTTGTTATTCATGTGAGAATATTAGAGATCAACATTGACAATGTTTGTGAGCTGATAAGGAATATGTATATTAGGACTCAATAGCTTGAACACTCATAATATACTAGAAGTCTTTTTAGCAGATATGAATAAGGGAATTCACTGTGATAAGGTTAAGATCAATCAAGATTACTCAATGGAAAGAGTCCTAGTTGATTACCACTGTGTATGGTATATATATATATATATATATATATATATATATATATATATATATATATATATATATATATATATATATATATATATATATATATATATATTCCCTGCACTCTCTCTGATCACGCAAGCTTACAGAAACTCAAACCCCATTCTTGAGGCCTTGCATACTGAAGAGGAGAGTTGCAGAAGAACTCTAATCCCAACAAGCATGTTATCATCTTCAAGTAAGTGGTTAACTTGGTACTGTGATATAATATTCAGAATTCAATATTCATATACAATATATGTTTTACAATGGCAACAAAAGTGGGTACTGTTTTTTTTTTTTTTTTTTTTTTTTGGGAAACAACAATTCAGTCAAGAGGGTGCCATTGAACCATAACCATATTATCAAGAGGAACCCTTCCCCTCCGGATGTTATTAAGTTAAATTTTGATGGATTTGCTTATTTTGAGGAACCATAAGGCCCTGTTTGGCACACCGTATAAGGCACCGGATAGTACTAATAATACGGTGTACGGTGTTTGGTGGCTATTTGGATTAAATAGGCATCGGATTAAATAATCCGGGCCCACCTTATTTACACGGTGTTTACCCGCTTGCTTATGCCATCCAATTTCACGGTATAACTTAGTCGGGCTCTCTTCCTCTCCAGACACAGTTTTCCGCTTCCTCTCCAGACGCATTCTTCCGCTCCAGGCGCTCTCTCTTCCTCTCCAGACGTTCTTTCTTCCTCTTTAGATGCTCTCTTCCTCTCCAGACGCCCTCTTGCTCTCATCCCAGGTTCGTCTTCTCACAGTCTTCTTCTTCGTTTGAGTGACAATTCGTCTTTTCAGTTTTCTTCTTCTGGGATTCCGCCCCTGCTTCTATTATTCCCCCTCCTTTTATTTTTCTTGCAATTGATTGAATCTAGTTATTATTTTCTCTCTAATTATGCAATTGATTATGTAATTTTGTGTTTTAAATAGAATTTTTGAATTTTAGGGTTTGCTATTGGGATCGAATTTAGGGTTTGTTGTTGGTGTTGAACTTTAATTAGAATTAATGATTGGGTAGAGTGGGAGTGTGCAGGTTCACTTACCTAAACAAAACTTTGTCTCTAGCGCAGCTGCTATTTCACTCACTGTCTTGCAGCCGCAACTCAACCATACGGATAACTGGGTAAGCCAATTGCTCTTCGCTCTTGTTCTCTGTCTCTCACTCCCCATCACTGTCTATGGCCCGAAAATTAGATCCCAATTGTTGTTCTTCTCAGTTTTTGCATCACTCCCTCTTAGCTTTTATCCATTTTTAATTTTTATGTGAATTTTACTTTTTATCTGAATATATATATATATATGTGTGAATAATTTCGAACTAGGGTTGTTAAATTGTTGATTGGCATTTATTCCACTTTGTAAAGTAATTGCCTTTTAGAAAAAAGAGTGAGTGAGAAATAGAGAAGAAAGGGAGAGTTGCTGCTCTTCTGATGTTTCGACTTAATTTTGATGCAACATGAGGTGATGAATATATAATGCTTTGAGGTCGTACAAAGTGCCATCATAGACTAGACTTCTTTGCTACCCAAACCATTTCATTACTTTCCATTGTATATTTGTTTAGTAAGCTCCATGCAGTATGATCAAATAATATAGAATTTAATTGATTACCAGACAATCATTGGACCCAAAAGGCTTACGCAGTTAGGGAATGGACCAACAAAGATAGATCAATCCCATGTGGTTTGCAATTTAACAAATAATACGGGTGTAGAGAAGATAGATTTCACATGTCATAAGAGCTCTGATACCATACGTGACAACCACAGATGCCAAAAAGAAATGGGAAAAAAATTAATATTAAATTAACAAAACACAAGGCAGGAAACTTTACTCAAAACTAGTACCAAAGCTGCTTGTATCTTTATACGAATCAATAAAGCATTATATTAGAGTCTAAAAGCTAAGAGACCACCTCACAAATAAATTTGTCACTCAAGGCTTCTAGCTTGTGAGGAACAAGGTGATCCTCAAAATCCCCATGTCCTAGTTGACCATATTTGCTCCAACCATATTTTTTGGTAGAACTTATTGTGAGAGCTGTGTTTTTAATTTTACTACAAAAAAAATGGTCATTTACGACCAACTTTTTCCAAGGACCTACGAATACCCTTGAAAAAATCATTATTTCTGACCAAAAATTGTGCTCCGTCGAAAATAATTCGACAAGAGGCATATTATTTTGTACACTCAAAATGCCCTTGGAAAAGGATTCCATTGCTGTCGGAAATAGCTGTTTTTTTTTAGGGAATTTTTGGTGCCACATTTATTTACGATGAAACTTGTATTAGTCGGTAATAGTTGTATTTTTTTTTTCAAGGGTGTGTTTAAGTTGTCGGAAGTAATTGTTTATTTCTGAAACAAGTGGTCGTCGGTAGTAATTTCTTTATTTTCGAGGGTTATTAGTTGTTGTTAGAATTGATTGTGTATTTGCGAGAGGAACTACATGCCGTAAAAAATGATTATCTATTTATACTTTATTTATTTTTTATTCTATTATAAGAAGTGGGATAAATTTAAATCAACTCGTGTACAACAAAAAGATTGTTAGGCTAACAATTTTAGAGTTAATCTAGCAAAGTTTTTTACCCTCATACTCATAAATATTTTATTCTTAATATCACATACGTGAGATTAAAAACTTCCAAAGCAATTTTAAGATACCAAAGCACATGAAAAAAATTCATAATAATTCATTTACAAGTGTGAAAAATGTGAAAAAAATAATGCAAACGCTCATAATAATTAATGTAGAAGTGTGAAAAATGTAAAAAAAAAAAATACAATCACTCGTAATAACATGCTTTACAACTTTCGTGAAGGGGTCAAATCCGAAATCTGACACCAGAATCTATAAACCCTAGATTTATATTTAACCGTCGATTGTCATTTATGCTCCATTCTTCTCATTGGATTTTGTTTTTCGGATTTGCTTTTTTGAAAACATAATCTTTTAACGGATGCAAACAAATGAACGTTTAGGTTATTGATATCACGTTCCGATGTTTACGGTTAACTGAAATATGAGTAAATGTTATATACTTTATAAACTCAAAACAATAATTTGACTAACTGTAAAAATCTGAACGTGATATCAAAGATCCGAACCGTTCATGTTTCTGAGTTCACTAGAAGATTATGTTTTCTAAAAAGAAAATTTGAAAAACAAAATTTTGTGAGAAGAATTGAGCGTAAACGACAATCAACGGCTAAAATTTAATCTATGGTTTATGGGATGATAGTGGCGAATTTTGGAGTTGACCTTTTCACAAAAGTTGTAGAGATTGTCATCACAAGCGTTTGTATATTTTTCTTATATTTTTCACACTGAGTAAATTGTAGCAATGGTCCCTGAACTTTAATCAAATTGGAGCAATGGTCCCTCAACTAAAAATCCATTACCATTGGTCCCTCAACTTATCAAAATGTGTAGCTATAGTCCTTTTCATCAATTTCTTCAAAATTTTGTCAAAATATGTTATGTTGGAATAACCATTTATATAATTAGGATCCCTCAACTCATCAAAGTGTGTAATTATGATCCTTTTCATCAACTACGTAAAAAATTTTGTCAAAACGAGTTATGTTGGAAGGACCATTGCTACAATTGGGTTAAAGTTAAGGGACCACTTCTCCAGTTGAATTAAAGTTGAATGACCAAATGTAATAAAGTTTTAGTTGAGGGACCATAGCTTCACGTTTTGATAAGTCGAAGGACCAATGGTAATGAATTTTTAGTTGGGGGACCATTGCTCCAATTTGATTAAAGTTCAGGGACCATAGCTACAATTTACTCTTTTCACACTTCGACATTAATTAAAAAACTTTACTACAATAATAATCATAAGATTTAATCTCACATAAGTGAGATTAAATCCTTACCGTGTGTTTTGGAAAGTTGCTAAAATTTTGGCATGGCGCCTTTATTTTTAGCTCTCTATTTTCAAAAATTTGGCATGGCGCCCAAAAACTTAAGTCTCTATTTCCAAAGAGAGTGCCGATTATCTCTTTCTTGCAGCTTCTCTGTATTTCCTCTTCAGAAACGAAACCCTAGCCTCCATCCTCCATCCTCTAGTAGCCATACGTGATGATGATAGAAACCATGAAATCCTCACACGTGTTGTATTTCAGTTTATATCTTATGAGGTCTGACATATATTTTTTCAGGTCTCTCCTGGATTTGAGATTTGGAAGCAGAAAACGAGAAGGCTAAGAGGATGGTGAAGGACGTGGCAACCTACTTCTCTATGACTTTGGGGGGCTTTTGTGTTCTGGCAATCCTTGGATGAAGTCCACGTCCAGATCGCTTTGTATCAGGACGAAAAGGTAAAAATCTCTTCTTTCTCATGCTTGCAGATGCAATTTCTCTTTTAGATTGGACTTATAATTTGGGTGATCAGCAATTTTTTTTAAGAATTTGATTGAATTTCATCAACTCAAGCACAGAATTGAGAGGGTTCTCATCGAATGGTTCAATTATGGCAGAAAATCCGATTTTTGGGAAATTGGCATGAAATTTGGTGGTTAGGTTACAGGGAATTGGGGAGTAGGAGATGCTGCAAAATTGGGGAGGAAATCAGGGGTGGGAGGAATACCCTATCTCTCAGACTTCTCCTGTCTCTCATTCACTTTCCTTTTCTCTCTGTCTCTCAGACTTCTCCCCTATCTCCATCACCGTGACCCAACATCATGGCAGCCACCGCCATCGTATCTCTCAATCTTGGAATAGAAGTTTTTCCTCTCATTGAAAGCAGCCACCGCCATCCGATTACGAACCCCATCGCCACCCTCCTTGCTCCACCGTCACACCGGCTTCCTTCCCTCATTTTCCCAAACCTATTTCGCCTCCCTTTCCTCAACTGCCGTCGGCATGTCCCCAACTTACTCTCCACCACAACCACTACCAGGACCTACGTAATATAGGAAACTCAAACCCCAAGTTACCCTTCTTTTTTGTTGGTAATTTTGCGATTTAATCCATTTTTTCTTGTGGGTACTCACATGTACATAGTGTTATGGGTGCTCTCTTCCTTAACCTTGACAGATGAAGATTTGTACAAGCTGGGGTTCGAGAAGGTCACCGAGGAGTGCAAGTCGGAAGCTTTGCTTCTCCGCCACAAAAAGACAGGTGCCCAAGTCGCTTCCATGTCCAACGACGACGAAAATAAGGTCTTTGACATCGTTTTCTGAACCCCCCTGTGAGTACTCTTGCAAAATCTCAAAATTTTAATTTTTTGTTTGTTTGTTTATTTATTTATTAATAAAATGGAGCTACCCATTTATGTAGTTGCTAATTTTATGTGCTCTGCTAGCAGTTAGTCTGATGTTTGTATCATAATTAAACTTGTGGTTGTGTGGTTTTGGTGTAGTGAGATATGAGGAGTGATGAAGGAGCTACATAAATTGTAGCGAGCTGCATGTAGTCAGATACATGAAGGAGCTATATGAACAAGTGATGAAAAAGCTATATGAAGGAGTGATGAAGAAGCTACATACACTGTATGTACAAAAGGGAAGATGCTTTTATCTGCACATCTTTGAAAGAATTCAAGTTTGCATTTTTGGAGTTTGAAGACTAGTGTTAATATGTTCAAACACATATCTTAGGTTTGTAATGAATGTATTGGCTTTACCACATTGATCTTAGGTTTGTAATGAATGCATTGGCTTTACCACATTGATCATATACGTTTGTTTTTATTAATGATAATACAAAATATTCTTTAAACAATGCTCAGCGGAATTTTTACGAAAAAGCATATATTTCTTGCCTCAATTTCCATTGGAAATGTCTATTATTTTATTTTTTTTCGATGAAAATAATATTTGTGACACATTAGGGTAGTAGTTAATGGTTGAAAATTGTAATTGCGACGATTGTGCACTCTTACAAATAAAAATTATTTTGTTGGAAACAAAATTTCTGACACAATTATTTGGTCGGAACAACATCATCGCAAAAAACACGTCGTCTTTTGGAAAGTAATTTCGACAACTATATAATTATTTACTACCACATTTCCATTTCAAAAATAAAATAAGTTTGTCATTTTGAAAATTCATTTCCGATGAAAAACTAACTACTAACGATAAGTCTTGTGCATCGATAGTAAAGTATTTTCGACGGCTAGTTGGATAAAAAGTATTTTCAATGAGACAATTTGCGATGCCCAACGAGGATTTTTTCCCGTCGAAAATAAGTATTTGTGATGGTAAAATGTCTTTTTCGACAACATTTAACCCTCGCTAATGACATTTCGTTTTGTAGTATTTTGACCCATATCCTCTTAGCCAACCCTTTTGCTATAACCAATTCCTTATGGAACCATCACATATTTTCGTGAAATCGTGTCGTGCATGCTACATGTTTGCATGCCTAGCTTATTCACTAATTAAGCCTACTCATCCCCCCATAATAGTTACTAACTTAGAATGCCAAATCCTAATCCTTCAGTTTCTGTACGAAGCGATTTCTCTCTTTGTCATCATCTTCAATTGCCATGTGTTGTGATTTTGTTGTCCACCTGTATTTATTTGCCACTTGTCAACCAACGCTTAGCCACTTGGACAGTCATAAACACTCTTTGAATATCTAATGCCAAATGGTAGTCATGTACACATGGCTCTTCAACCCTTGAGTCATTAGCCATGCATTTGGCACCTTCACTTTGTTGCCAACCTAGCAGCATTATCACCTACCCTAGTTGTCATATTTGTGTTACATTCTTATCAAACTTCTCCACAAAACTAACACCTTTCATGCCAGCTTTCAATAGCCACCAAAACCCACCAATTGGGAGGAAGTTTCAGCCGCTTCTTTTCCCTATAAATAACAAGCCATTCCACAATCCCATTAATATTATCTCCACCCCTTTTTACGTTGCATGCAGAGAAAATAATATTTAATAAATAATTGATTAAATCATATTATTACTAGTCCATTATAAGGCTAAGCACACATCATTCCTTATTGGTGTAGATAATATCGTTTGTTTAAAAAAAAAAAAATCAGCTATGCACGACTTACACGTTTTAAATGTATTTATATGTGTAAATTGACAAAAGGAAAGTCAAATATTTGAAGTAAATGAAAATTTTTAGATCATGATAGAAGAAACCCCTGATAAACCAATTAAAGCAACTGAATTCACATAATAAAATCGGTCTCTATAGAATTTACATTAAGAATAGAGAGAATAATATTTAATAAACAATTTATTGAATCAAATTATTGCTAGCCCATTGTGAGGCTAATCTCACCCCCCTTCCTCTTAGTATAGATAATATCATTTGTTAAAAAAAAAAAAACAATCATTTGACAATTAATTTAATCACAATATTATCTGAGTGCGAAAGACTTTTTTTTATAACCGACATTACACGCTTCTTAAAATGTTTTGAACGTGTTTAAAAATAAAGAAAATAATATCTAATAAACAACTGATTGAATCACATTATTGCTAGTCCATTGTGAGGCTAATTCCACCCCTCTCCCCCTTAGTGTAGATAATATTGTTTGTTGAAAAAAAAATAATCATTTGACAACTTATTTAATCACATTATTATCCGCGTGCTAAAGATTTTTTTATAACCAGCATTACACGCCTCTTAAGATGTTTTGAACGTGTTTAAAATAGATAAATTGAATCACATTATTGCTAGCCTATTGTGAGATACCAATTATAAAATAAAAAAATAATAAAAAACTGTACCAAAAAATTAATTATTAAAAAGCATTGTTAAAATGATGAAAATAACCCTCCTTATTTGATGCATTATTTTGGGATGCCTTTAAAGTTTTTTGTCTTAGAGGCATTTTTGTCCAAATATTTTTGTTGAAACTTAGTGACACCAAAATCACTGTTCTCTTCTTTCTGTTCACTTTATCTATATATATATATATATATATATGTTTAGAGAGTGATTAGAAAAGAAGAAGAAATACATGGTTTAGGAGTGATCATGGAGCTTGATCATGTGCTTGGAGCTTAGCTATTGCGTTAATGAAGTTGATCTTTGTTTTAGCTTTGGATTTGAGGTAGGGGTTTCTTGGAGAACTTATCACCATTGGGTTATTTTTCTTGTTTAAGCTTTGTGAAAATGTGTTATATTTGATAAATCTCTGTAATTGATATAATTGTGTATATTGGAATATGATTTATATTATTGTTGATAATGTGGATATTGTGATGATGATTATATGCATATGTCATTGCATATTGGAGGGGATGGATTTCATTGGTTATTCGAGATTGGGATATGAAAATGGAAATATTCTTTTGTGTAGTTAAGTTCGTCCCTCGTAGGGACCAGAAAGGTGGCAAAAGTGAAATTATAGGAATGGTATGAAGTAGTGGAGACTCTGGTGATCGAGAGGAGAACAAGATGATTAACAAAAGAGGAAATTGGGATGACAGAGTTATGGAAGTTGGTTTATATAATATCCATGATGTCCGTCAATCTCATATTCTCCCAATAGGTGATTCATCAGCATGATCATCAACCAACCAGAGATCATAATCATGGAAGCGTTTTATCTTCTTCTCAAAACACAGGATATAATTATTGTGGATTATAACGTGCATCCCTTTAGTTTCCCGCACCCATGTCTTGTTCTTAAAAGTATAGTCCTCCAGTTGGGAATGCTGCCTACGGCAGCAGATAGAGATCCACCTGCAGAAAATTAAACACATAATCACTCAAAGGATCCAAATAATTCGTGAAGGTATGGTGCCATAAACATTTTTCACGCATCTGGGCCTAATATCAATATACCTATATTAAGCACAACTTTCAAAGTGAAAATACCTCGTTAGCAAGTTTGTCTAATGCCCAGTTAAAAGCAGGCTGATCATTTGCTTTTTTTTCTCTGGACCATGGTTGGTCTTTAAGTTCCTCAATCCACTTCTTCATAACTAATTTTGCTCCACTGGTTGGACGCAGGAAAATCATGCAGCTTCATATATAAGCGCGTCCTTTCTTTCCTGGAGGTGGCAGATCATGAGAGTGTTTCAGAGGTTTGACCTGGTCACCAAAATAGAATAATAAACCCCTTGTAAATATAACGAAAGCAGTCATATCTGCAGCATTTGACTAGACTGCAGAGTAAAAAAAGAATAATACTAAGAACTGCTGCAGCTACAACACCTTTATCCTTTATCTTTTAGTTTTTAGACATACAGCAGCAAACAGGCAACTATTTACTTATTTATCAAAAGCTCTCCCTCCCCTCCTCCTTCCCCTCTCTTTCTTATTGTGCGTGCCAAATGGTAGAGAAAGGAAGCAGCAGTTCAATCATTGTGTAATTGTGCACAGCGTCTGGTCTCATCTAGAGATTGAAGACTGCTTTCCCCGGAATAGATTGATATGGTGTGCTTAAAGATCTAAGGTTATGATTATTAAAGACAACATAAGTAGTAGTTTGGCGGCCACTTTATGTATTGAATTGGTACCAAAAGATACCGCCATATATCCACTTAATACCCAAAGCATATCACATACACCAAAGAGTGCACACAATTCAAAGTTTCCTTATAGCAAAAGGAAAAACTAACGAAAGTTTAAGTGTATGTTTTACTCATAAGCATGCTTGTGCAGAGCACGTCTCCCGGTGGCTGATGGACATGAAATTTAGGACAACACATGCTTAGCATCCCGTTTATAATTTAAGCACATGTCAATAGCTAAATCAAAACTAATGTACTTACTGGAGTCATGTCATCTGTGAAGTACACGTCATGTTTTCCTTCGAAATAGGGAAACTGATCAGCCAACCACACCATATCAACATCATTGTACATAACATTGTATCCAAGTTCCAAAATCTGCAACAGGTGTCGTGGCCTTCGGGAAGTAAAGTTGAAGAATCCTTACACTAGGAAACCAATCAAAATCACTTTTGAAAGGCAATAAGTCAACAATCCATCAAGGCAAAGGGTTCCATTCATCATATTCAGGCTCAAAGAGACATAAACACCCAGAAGACCAATAGAATCCAAAGAACAAAAGAATAAAGAGTTTGAATGGGGAAACATTATGCTGGAGCAAATACGTACCCGACAAGTTGAATTCTATATCAGTTTTTTAGTTGTCAGAACTTGAGCAGATGGTATCCGAAAATTAATATTCAAGTGATAAGTGAAAATTTTCAAATGAAATTTCTCATTGAGCCAATGCTGTGACAATAAGGATTTGTATTGCTTGTTTGAGGTCTTCCGTACATAGTTGTTATGCTTAAAACTAACCAACCATTTTATATGACGAATATGAAGTCGAGTTGTTTGGGTTAAAACTTAAAACTTTGGGCTCAAAAGGGAAGTGGCCCAAAAAGAGGAGAGAAACCCGAAGTCCATCCGAAGCGCAGAAAGTAGAAAAGGCCTTTCTCGACTAGGTGTAGACCATTTGCACCACTTGCTCACCTACCTTAAGACCAAGTGGTGTAGACCAGCCAGCTAATCAGCCCAAAAGTACTTTACAATGACAGTACAAGTAAATAGCTGATGAGTCATTGTCCTTCAAACCGCATTCGGGCAAGATTACTGCTACAGGAGGTCAAGCCAAAATGTTTATAAAAAAAGAAAGAGAAATCAGAGTTAAAGACACTCAAATAAACAAACAAATACAAGCACAAACTCTGCTCAAAAAGCTAGATTTGCCTTCAAACGAAGCTGTAGTCAGCCCAAGCCTTCATCCCTTTCGGGATAAACCTTCATTCAAGCCTTTGTAATAGCTCTGCTATCCTGTTCAACTCTTACTGTAGTATCGATTTCTTTCTGTAAAACCCATCTCCTTACCCCTCTTCTAAAGCTCTCAACCCCCTTGATAAACCACAAAGATAGGAAGTTGCAAGACGATCAGCCTTGCCCGACAAGGTTAAACCTTGCTCGACCCTCTTTGTTTCTGTCTTTTCATTCATTAACCTAGCAATATGTTGTATACTTCAAGTTGTATTCAAGTTATTTCTAGTAAGATGACTATTAAAAGACTCTCTTAGTGCTTGAATCCGATTTGAATATGTCTTCACAAGTTCAAACCAGATCTAAGTTCTAAGCCCTCGGGCATGTAAGATTTGATCATTTAAAAGTCCTTGGCCTCAAGGCATAAAAAAGAACCGTATGTGGACTTAACCCATCCACGACAAACTTTGATAACAAGAAGTCCGAAGTTACTTGGGGCGCAAGTAATCGACCTATTCCTTAGTTTTATTTCTATTATATTATGATTACCATAGAACGTTTGAATATAGAATAAATTCTGATAAGAAGCCTCAAAGCCTATATCTAAGGCCCTACAAAGGCACCTATTTGGATTCATTCTATTCCGCGGGCTAGAACGTTTGAGTATAGAAGGAATTCTGATGGGAAGCCTCAAGGCCTATATCTAAGGCCTTACAAAGGCACCTATATGGATTCATTCTGCTCTTCGGGCTCAGGTAATCAGAAGTATAATGATTATAAGATTCATACAATCAATGAAGCGGACACTATATGTTCAAGTACTGAGTTAGTTATTGACCGGAAGCCTCAAGGCCTACACCTAAGGCCCCACAAAGGCACCTGTCATAACGAACATGGTCTCTTGGATATATATACAACTAAAATTCAACATCCGTTTTACATCTGCCATGCTGAAGATGGTAGTGGCACGCCTGAGCACTTAAAAGTTAATCTTGATTATGAGTCTCAAGGCCTACACCTAAGGCCCCACGAAGGCACCTTTCAAAGTTAACTCTGTCCTTCTCTTTCAGCTTTGCCCGACAAGTCTTGCCTGACAAGCTTTGCCCGATAAGCCCACTAGTGAAGCAGAAGCCCGACAGAAAGCATCAACCGGCGCCAACCTCTCGGGGAGCTGTGTGCTCGTTGGCCAGGGAACATCCCCGACAAAAATTCCTGCCACGAACACGTGTCCTAAAGAATTTGGGTCATAACCTCGTACAAGTGCACGCATTTTAACTTCCAACTTCCAGTCGACCCCAAAATCTTACACAAATCAGTAGCGAATTAAATCCCGAAAACAGAGCCTAAACTACAGAAACATGAGCATCACAACATCGAACTATCCCAAATATAATTTCAAACTCCACATATAATATGAAAGAATCAGCAATTATACCTGAGAACCAAACTTATGGGCAGTCTGAGCATCCGGCGCAGGCGGCACAAGCACGGCGTGGCCCGGCCACCACTCATTCACCTTATAAAGCGTGGCATAGTCTTCGGCAATCACAAGCACCTTGTCCTGGTGCTTTTGCCTGGCAATGCTGATCAACCAATTGTTCAAAAACGGCAAGTACGGCTGACTGACGGCGCAAACGAAAGTGTGTGGATAGTGTGTGGATAGTGTGTGGACAGAGATTAAGCTCTGTGGTGGGCAGAAACGAAAGTGTGTCTTCTTTGGGGTTCCTTTTTCTGGAATCCCGTTGTTTTAATCAGTTATGGTTTTTCAATGTTTCAATTGTATATTGCATTTGTTAATGCTTTGTTCTGAATTCGATTTTTTTTTCTGTTTGTTTGTTCGTTTTATGTTTGAGCAATTGTAGGGCACTGCATGCAACGGACCCTGATAGCAATTTTGGGTGAGTCTTGATTCCCCAGTGCACATAATTTTGTTTCAGTTTATTTGTCTACTTTTTCATTTCTGTGGAATTTTTTGGAAACCCAAATGATCCAGGATTGGAATTTTTGTGTAAATTGATAAGTGCGGGTATGTCTAACAGAGTAAGAGCAGTAATCCAGTTTTGTGGTCAGTTCGATTTAGGGGTTTTGATTCAGTTAGGGGTATGGATAGTGTGTGGACAGAGATTAAGCTCTGTGGTGGGCAGAAACGAAAGCGTGTCTTCTTTGGGGTTCCTTTTTCTAGAATCCCGTTGTTTTAATCAGTTATGGTTTTTCAATGTTTCAATTGTATATTGCATTTGTTAATGCTTTGTTCTGAGTTCGATTTTTTTTTTCTGTTTGTTTGTTCGTTTTATGTTTGAGCAATCTCCAGTCTATGTGTTTTATGGTAAAATGAAAGAAAATGAAATAAACTTTGTTTGGTTGGTGCAAAAGTCAAAGTAAAAAAAATAAATTGTGAGGTGGTCATTCTGAGAATATGATTGTTTGCTAGAGCGTTTTCTCTTTTTATTTTTTTATTTTTTTATTTTTTTCCGATGTGTGTTTTTCATTTTTCTATCCCATTGGGTCCATCTTTGCTATGCAAAAGATGAGCTGAGTGTGTATGTTTTTGGAAAGAAAAAAAAAATTGCTTTTCTGCTGTACAAGAAGATTATAGTGGTTGATCATTTGTAGCATACTTTTTCAGTTTATTCTTACTCATTTATTTCCCATATTTTTTATTATGCGACTCTGAGTCTATATTTCAACTTATACTTTATTTACTCTTCTTTTGCAGCATACTATTTCACACATTTACTCTTCAGTAAACAGGCTAACGAATTTTCGCATACAACATTGTCTCCAATCATCCTTCATTATAAGGTATTCTGTTCTCACATTGTCTTCCGTCCACTTTCATAAAAAAATTTATTGCATTTGAATATTAATTGGCTTCAGTCATTCTTTCGTCTTAACTATCAATGCACAAACTTATCAATTATTGACAAACTCACACTCGAATAAACATTTTTTCATACACTGCAAGACCAGTTTAACCTTTGAGTTACAGCTGCAGTGTTTGTTACCATTGCTCCATTATCAGCTAAAACTTAACCATCTGTTGTGTGTATATGTTTGCTCCTTCCTGTAAATATGATAAAAATAAAATAAAAATTAGTGTTGGATTGACACATAGTTGTGTTAAAGAACATTGAACGATTGAGTCAGCTGATCGGAGATTAATGTTTATGTGGAGATTAAGCATGTTTTTTATATGGTTATTGTTGCTTTTGGTGTGTGTATCACATGATTATTATAATTTTTCTTCAGGTATCTGAGTTTTGGGATTATGTTTATTAGATTGGATTGTAATTTTAAGTTGATATTAAGCGGTGGTTTTGTTTTTTTACAGGGTTTGAAAACGTTCTGCTCTTGGGTCTTGAGACATTTGCGTTCGTCTTCCAAGATTTTTTGCACCAAAGGTGAGTGATTTAAAATTTTTGGATTGTCAGCTTAAAATTTTATGTGCCTATTTTCATTGCAGGTTCAAATAATTCTAAAACCATGTTTATGGAAGAAAAAACAAGCTCCCAACTAGGAAACCCAATGGAGGTAGTACTCTTTTCTTTCTTGCTCAACTTGCTTAAAAATGATTTCCTAACCATTCTTGTTTTTCATTTATTTGTTTACAATTTGAACAAATTCTTAACTTTTACTGCAACCATAATTGATACCCATTTTAATTCACTTTCTGCCAATAATGTTTCAGTCTTTCTCCATATTTCACACTCGATTGTTAATGTGAAATCAATATGCTGACCCTTATACGTTATAAAACTGTTGTATGCATAATATTTCATCAAGGTCAAACATTAGTTTCTTTGCACCGTATTTTCTGTTACCTAAACCTCAGTACTTATTTTAATTACAGTGGAAGTGATTGAAAATTATCGAGAATTAGTATCTACATACCGAAAGAAATAGATTGAAAATAACATTATTTGGTAGTAAGGAAAATTAGGGTTTCAATTAAAGGATGGCAGGAGGAGGAGGAGGAAGACCTTTGGAGCAAACTCCAACTATGGCAGTTGTCGATGTTGTTTTGTTTTGGTTTTGGTTTCGATCCGCATCAAATATTTCATTCATTTAATTGGAAAGGTTTCCTTTCACACGTAATTGGGTTAATTTCATCTTATGTACAGTCACTTTCGGGTTTATTATGAATGCGAAATGAGGTATTTTGATTAAATTTTAATTGCACTCCTTGCAGTGGTGACAAAGAGAAACAAAAGAGCTCTCTATGAAGCTCTTGATGATATGGTATTAGGGCTCCTATCTTTGTTTCTAACAGTAGGACAATACTGCATTTCAAACATATGTACTTCGAAGGCTGTTGGTGCAATTTGGGATGCATGCAACAATAAGAGTGGTGCTTGAGATGACAACTCCGGTAGAAGGATTATCTCAGCCTTGGATTCCAGTGGGGGGTGGCCGATATGAGCTGCTGGATATGAAAAATGTGCAACCTAGGTATGTCCAAATACATATACAATATTATATATGTATAGTTTTCATAAAATTGTTGAGCATTATGAGTGTGCATTTTGTGTGTCTTGCAAAAGAACGGAGAATTAGATGGAGATCTCAACCATAGAATACAAGCTGGATGGATGAAGTGGAAGAGTGCATCCGGCGTGTTGTGTGATCGTTGTATGCCACTGAAGTTTAAGGGAAAATTTTATAGGACGGCAATAAGGCCGGCGATGCTGTATGGCACAGAATGTTGGGCGGTGAAGCACCAACACGTACACAAAATGGGTGTAGCGGAGATGAGGATGCGTCGTTGGATGTGTGGGCACACGAGAAAGGATAAGATTAGGAATGAGGATATCCGAGGTAAAGTAGGAGTAGCCGAAATTGAAGGAAAACTGAGAGAAAATCGGTTACGGTGGTTTGGACATGTGCAAAGAAGGCCTACTGACGCTCCGGTTAGAAGATGCGACTACGGGACAAAGGTTCAGGGCCGAAGGGGTAGAGGAAGACCTAGGAAAACTTTGGAAGAGACTCTAAGAAAAGACTTAGAGTACTTGGATCTAACGGAGGACAGGACACAGGATCGAGCACAATGGCGTTCTAAGATTCATATAGCCAACCCGACTCAGTGACTTGGATTTTTCAAGTCTCCAATCGAGAAGTTTTCCCCACTCGGGAAATTAAGGGAACACTACCTCAACCTACATGCTCCACTCACAAAGCTTCAACATACAAGCTTCAACAAAAGAAAAATTCAAAGAACTTAGTGAAGAAGGCTTTGGTGTATTTAACACAATACGTTGAAATGAAACAAAGCTTATTTATTGATATCTCTAAGAAGTTACAAATATGTACATATACAAGAGTCAAAATAAACAAACAAGATGGAGCCTTCACAAATGTTGCTTAGGAGAAGTCTCAGCAGTCGGCAGAGCCCCAGAAAGAGAAGGCACCAGAGGGGGATCATTCGGAGCCTCAGTACTGGACAGCACCCTAGAAGGAAGAGGCATCGGAGGTTGATCATTTGGAGCTTCATTACGCGGTACAGCCCCAGAAGACGAAGGCAATAAATGCCTTTGGAACAAACCCACAAACCTCTGATGATCATGTAAAATTTGACCATCAGATTCTTTCATCTGGTCAAGCTTCCTCTTCATGTTTGTAGCATAGTCATGAGCGAGCCAGTGCAACTGTTTATTCTCATGCTTGAGCCCTCTAATCTCCTGTTTGAGACTCATCACTTCAGCCGCCAATGATTCAACTTGGCGGGTTCGAGCAAATAGGCGTTGGGCCATATTAGACACAGAACCTGCACACTGAACACTGAGAGCCAAAGAATCCTTAACAGCCAACTCATCAGACCGTTTGGAAAGTAGTCTGTTATCTTTGGGAGTGAGAAGGTTCATGGCCACCACCGCAGCGGTCATATCATTCTTCATCACGGAATCCCCAACGGTAAGAGGACCAGTAGGGGATAAGAATGATGGGCGCCATATGTTGTCTGGAGAAGGCGTGGCTGCCTCTTCAACAAGGTTCAAGTCAAAACGACGGTCGGAGGGGCCAGACATTTTCAAAGGTGTTGAAGAGAAAAGAGGTCAGACAAATCAAGATCTTAGAAATGCAAGAAGGGAGCTTCTACTGGTGGAGATTCAAGTGTGCTTTGGAACTTAATACCAGCCTCTATAAAAATCCGCACTCGATGGAGCTTCAGAAATCGAAGAGGCGCCTGCTCAGAAATCGAAAAGGCATTTGCTTTCTCAAAAGCTGGGCTGCTCAGAGACCACGAAGGCCGATCTCAGGAATCGAAGAGGCGTTTGCTTTCTCAAAAGCTGGGCTGCTCAAAGACCACGAAGGTCGATCGCAGAAATCGAAGAGGCGCTTGCTTTATCAAAAGTTGGGCTGCTCAGAGACCACGAGGGCTGATCTCAGAAATCAAAGAGGCACCTGCTTTTTCAGCCTTGTCAGCACCTGTCACATGCACACTCAACTTTGCGGAAATTACGGGCATTCTGTCGAAGATTTCTAGTGAAGTAGAAAGCACGTGAATGTTACTGTTCAATCATTCACTTTCCCCACGCAACATCAGCTCACGGGTACCACAGCTAACTTTGCCAAAAATCTCTGACAATGTTTAGACACGTGAAGCTTGTAGCTCCCATTACATCGCTATGACCAAGAAGGGTAAAAGAATAGCAAAGAAACAGCACTAACAAAGTTTAGACACATGAATTTTGAAGGTCTAGCTACCATATTATTACCCACAAGGGTAAAGGAATAGGACCATTGCTGGATAATTAGAAAGTCCCTGTGGGTCAACCTCTGTGCTCCGTGGCAAGGTAGACTAGCAAACAGGTCTAACCTTTACTCACATTCGAGAAAACACTCCCAACAAGATTGCTTGCTTCAAGATCGAAGAGGCACCGTCCTCCGAATCTCGAGAGCCAGACTCCCAACATGATTACTTTCTCAAAAATCGACGAGACACCGCTCTCCGAATCTCGAGAGCCAGACTCCTAGCAGGATTGCTTTCTCAAAAATCGAAGAGGCACCGTTCTCCGAATCTCGAGAGACATATCCCCGACAGGATTGCTTGTTCGAAAACCGAAGAGGCACCACTTTCTCAACTTCGAGAGCCCCTTAGATAAAGCTTGTCTGTAATCCTCACACCGCTTTCTCAACTTCGAGAGCTAGATCTCTTTGGATAAAGCTTGTCTGTAATCTTCACACGTAACATCAGTTTTCCAGATACCACAGACCACTTTTTCAAAGTGCTCTGACAGAGTTAAAACACGTGAAGCTGGCAGCTCCCACTACCGTGCTATGACCAAGCAAGGTAAAAGAATAGTATTACTCCTTGTTAGGGAGACTCCTATATATGTCGACCTTCATCCTCAACGGACAGGCATACCTGCAAAAATGTTCAACCCTTCCTCATATCTGAGAGGGCACTCCCAACGAAGCCTCTCGAAATACTCAGCTTTCTTTCCCCCCGAGAATACCTCTGCAAACAAGTTACACTAGAGCAAGAATATCTCATATCATCAGGGTTAAAAGCAAGAGTATCCCATATCATGCTTTTTCCCTGTCTTTTCCTTTGGCCTTGTTCTTACCTGCAAAACAAGGAGAAAGAGAGCAATCAGTCAGCACTTGGAATCAAGCTTCCAATCCAGAACTGACTGCCTGGAACCCCATTGCTCTCGAGTACTCATCTTCAACATCTTATGCTTCCCGAGAAGATACCACATCTGCCTGAGGAACAAATAGGGCAAGTGAGAAGGTACAAGGAAGCATGTGGAGACAAGCGCAACAGAACACGTGCCGATACATCCATTACTTTGTCAACAGCAAAAGTATCCCATATCAGCAGGGTCGAACGTACTCTAGATTTGATAGACTTGTTTTGACCCTCAAATTCTTCAGTCGGCCTTATACTCTGGCGGAAACAAGAAAACCCTCCAGCCCAGTTCAAGAATAAGCATGTGGAAAGTTACTTCTTCAAAAGCAAAAGTATCTCATATCACCTTTTCTCCTATTCTTCTCTTTATCCTTCATGCTACCTGCAAGATAAGGAGAAGGATAACAATCAGCCGGAACTCGAAATCAAACTTCTGATCTGGGACTGATTGCTTGGAGCTCTGATTGCTTACCTTGTCTGTCACCTCTTTCAGCAGATCCCCTAGCTCGGCGACTTGGGGGACTCCTACTACATGGTTTGTATCGCGCTTGACCAAACCTGAAATTACAAGTAAGCGTCAAGTGAAATTGATACATACCTTGTGCATCTCCACCAGTTAAAGATACCACCCCTGGAGGGAGGAAAAGTACTTCCAAAGAAGATGCTACATCTACCTATGAGACAGATAAGGCAAGTGAAGACGATACCACACTTCGGTACTTAAAAGTTTCGTGATTACGAGATCATTCTTCCACAATATTTCCTAATGTCATTTGTACTAAATCATTCACTTATACTCACTAAAGGAGAGGTTGAACCTATATACTGTGTAAACCCTTCACAATTAATGAGAACTCCTTTACTCCGTGGACGTAGCCAATCTGGGTGAACCATGTACATCTTGTGTTTGCTTCCTGTCTCTATCCATTTACATACTTATCCACACTAATGACCGAAGCAATCTAACGAAGATCACAAACTTAATATTTAAGATGATATTCTTTGGTGTACGCTTTTCGCAAACAATATAGTGTTGATAGATGAAACGCAGGAAGGGGTAAACGCGAAGCTTAACCTTTGGAGAGAAGTGTTGGAATCTAAAGGTCATCGCCTA